GGGGGGGGGGGGTGTCACAGGAAGGACCACAGCAACAAGAGTAAGGAAATGAAAATGGTTCCCCAAAGCCAGCTTCCAGGCTTTCCTGTTATCAATGACTTGACCAGGGGACCATTATAGCCTCACTGGGGTCCTGCTCACCTTCCAAGAAATGAAGTGTCCCCCCAAAAGGCTGAGATCTAAAAACACCCAGAACATTCTGTAATTTTGGCCAATTGTCTTAAAATGAATTTAATAGGTTCGAACCCTCTGCTCCCCCCCCCGCCATGTTCCTGACACACAAATATTTCCAATACCTCCGTGCTAGGCATGACTGGTAAAGTTAGGACTTGGTCTCCCTGAAAGGCTATGAGGACACCACTCAGGAGAGAAAAGCACTTTCACAACTGTAAAAGTCATGGAGAAGGGGCTCACTGAGGTTTTAAAAGGAAAACAAACATTAAACCTCCAAGTAAGAGACGGTGTTGATCAAGCCAAGGCAGACATGCTGGTGGTAACCAGCCAGCTGAGAACAAGGCTGGTCCAACTTCCTATTTTGCTTCTTTTATGATCTTAAATCTCAGCTTGAAGCTCCCCATGACCCAATCTGTTCCTGTGCCTTGAATATTTCAGATCAGGCAGGTGACTCATGAGGCAAGAGAGATACAAAGGAAATTGGTCTAAAGTGTGGTTCAGGCAGAGCTGATGTAATGGGTGTAATGTAATTCAGGTCCACACTGCATCTCCCCCATCAGAAAAAGTCACTTACTTGCAAAGATCTGAAGAAATTCTACACTGGAGAGTTCAGCTCTGGTCATCTGCAAAAGCTCACTGAGTCAGTGGCATGACCAAGGTGAAGAAAATGGGAATAAAGAACATTTTCTTCTCCAGCTTAATGAAGACCAAGGTCACTGTCAATACAGCAATTAGTGAGAACGAAATTTTTGCTTCTAAACAGATTAACATGCCAATCCTTAAAAAAAAATTTAAAAAAAAGCCTTGCACAGTAACAGTAGCCATGTGTTAGCCACTTTAATATAAAATGTGATCAAACCTCAATTACAAGAGTTCAAAACGGCATAGAAAAACCAATGTTTCAATTATATTACAAGTTTTAAAATCTGGGAGCAGTTTTTTAAAAACTTATATTCTAATTTCAGCCCAGGGTTAATATTTTACAACCAAACTAAGAATTACTACAGGGGAACATCAATGCAACAAACAAGTAAAATTTGCAAACCCAAGTCACACTTACTAACATAGTTACTAATCACGGTAGGGGGCAGAGCCAAAGAGCAACTGATGCCCAAGTTAAATGTGAAAGAAACCCTGCCTTCTGTGAGGGCAGAGAAACATGCAAACAATTCTGCTTCAGCAAATTTGCATAGAAATAGAAAATGCTAGAGCCTTTACCACAAATGAAATTGCAAAGCCTCAACATGTTAAAGTCAATCCAAAGAGCTCCAAATGTTAAATTGGAGCCAAGGTAGGAACTCCAACATCTAATTTCCAGCTTATGCAACTAGCAGAGCACAAGAATTTCAGGTGTGGAAATTAGCTGTAGGCAAACTCTGTAAAAATATGAATTTTATACACCATAATTTTAAGACAATGCAGACATTTCTGCAGAATTGTTTAGATTTTAGAAGGGCACCATAAGGCATCAGGGTCTCTTTCCAAAGTCACTCGAAAAAACTGCTGGTTTTGTCAACAATTATATCTTTACAGCCTTAGATAAATCTTCCACAGATCTCTAGCCTCTGCACACATGGCCATAAGATCCCAAGATGGGCATCATGTTCATTTTCTACCCCAGTATCAGGCAGGAACAAGACTGTTTGGTCCTGCTTAATGTCAGCTTGTAGAATGACTTTTGATATTAAATCCTCCCATGGCCTAAATGGCATGGAAGTGACTATCCCACAGGTGTGAACATTTCTTTCAGCCAGAACCCTATCTCCTAATCAACTTGTCCTTCCTGCCCATCCTCCCTCCCCACCTTCCCCTGTGAAGACTCAGTTCTGGGCAGCAAAGAATTCCCACCCAGGACCTGCACAAATGCTGACATCTGGAAGCCCTACTCTTCCTCATCGCCAGCTCCCCCTGCTGGAAGCCAAAATGACAGTGTTGCAAAGACTTCCAGAAACAAGGGTTATTTACAAATTAATTTTTGTGCACTTTAAAACCTGGGACCTTTAGAGTCAGTCTCCAAACCCTTTCCTGGGGGACAGTAGAGTATGCAGCAATGCCAAAGGACGTTTATTTCTAGAGGAAGAAAACAGATTAACACACATGATAATGATGGGCATCAAGAATAATTTGTAATAAAAATTTAAAAAAGACAAATGCCCCAGAACCCTGCATTTTTATCAACAGTGCCATCTTCCCACAAGGAGAGAACCTCAGATAGAAGTCACTGGTTTTGCTTTCATTGAATAAGGAGTCCCACATTTGTTGTACTCCTGAATCTGAGAAAAGCGCCAGCTAAAACTGTCACTTTTTAAAGTAAAACAGTGACTAATGAGCTTACATCTCCACACCCTTATAGCAGCTCGATGTCAAATCCTTGTCAGTTCCCTTAGGAGACTTACTCTTCTATTCTGGTATGACTACCATGAGAACTGAAATTTTCAAGCAGGAAAAGTCTAATTACAAAGCAGTGAGTGGCATCCCAAGTGAAGCCCTTACTATGGTTTCCAATTTCCTGTTCAATCCACACTGCAGAGACACAAGGAAAGCCACCGAATGGTTCCCAAGTTTTATTCAAAAACTTGTACAAAGTGAGCCGGGCAAGCGGGCATCAATCCTCCTCCTCCTCCTCCTCCTCATCCTGGTTTATCTGGAAGTAACGCAACTCATAGCTCTCTTTGCTGTTGGCAACTACGCGCAACCAGTCACGTAGGTTATTCTTCTTCAAATACTTTTTGGTGAGATATTTCAAATACCTGCAGAGAAAGAACACGTGAGAGCTCCCAAAGACACCCAGCCTTCTTGCATTCTGAAACACTGTCACTTTTATGAAACCCTTGTATTCAAAGTCATTACAATGCAAGGTGTCCTCCCACCTTTCAAAAATGGCAAAGATGAGGCAAATACACCAGGCCAATGGCCCAAAAGAACAAGGAGCCGTATTTCACCTAAACTGGCAATAAAAATGAGAACAGGTAAGATGTAGGAGTTGTCCTTGAAACAATAGCAAGCACCTATAAAATGACTTTTCGTGACCCCTGGAGAAAGATTTCATGGTTAGTTGACAATTAAGCACACAACCTTAGTACCTTTTATGGAGAAAGCCCGGGGTTGCTACTGAGCCCCAAGGACTTCCTATACATCACACCTCATTAAGTCAGACCTCCTTTGGAGGTTTTTCAGGTTATGGGGACTGCTGCTTAGGGCTGGGTTACATGCACTCTCACTTCTGCTCTGTGACACTACCCACCACCGTGGCTCCAGCTCTGCAGCAAGAGCATTCTCCTGTCACCTGTATGCTTATGAGGCCCTGGGGTCTATCTACTCCAGCACCTTCCCACAGTCATAGACAGAAGGGGGAATGGAATGCCAAGCAAACCACTGCTGGGCAAAGTAACCTTTCCAAACCTGCTTCTCCATCTCTAAACAGGACTCATGATACTTGACTTCTCTTCAGACCGTTAGGAGGACTGAATGAGATGCACAGGCAAACCAGCATATTAACAAGGATCCTCATGTTAACGGAACAGTCACATCTCCAAGAAATGAATACAGTTCAGCAGTGCTACTTACACCAAAAAAGCAATCTTCACAAAGATGTGAAGACCTCAGTTTAATTCTATCCACTTTTCCTTACATAAAAATAAACCAATGTGGTCATTTCCTCTAAAAAGTATTTTTTTTTTTTTCCTTTATTATCAGTTCTACCACATTGTATTCAGGTGGTTTGAAAATTTTCATTCTAGAATGTTGCAGAGGAGCTAAATGAAGAGCTGCAGAAGTTCAGAGACAAGCAAAAGAAAGTTCTAGATTAGGAGCACCTTGAATGTTCAAAGACGATAAAGCTCCTATCATCAAGATGGGAAAGCTTTATTGGAAGATTAAGGCTCCGTTCTTTCACCACTGGGTAAAGAACAGGCAATGTGCAAAAACTCGAGTAAGTTATGTTGGGAGATATTCTCACACTAGGTTGGTAAACTTGGAAACAGGTCACAGGAAGATTACAGAATCTTCCCCAAGGCTTTTTTTTTTTTTTTTTTAAATATATCGTTATTGATTTCAGACAGAGGAGAGGGGGAGAGAGAGAGAGAAACATCAGTGATGAGAGAGTCATTGATAGAGCCTGCAACCCGGGCATGTGCCCTGACCGGGAATCGAACCCTGATTGCCTGGATCCCAGGTCAATGTTCAACCGCTGAGCCAAGCCCGGCTGGGCCCCCCAGGGCTCTTTGAAAGCCCAGCAGGTTAGACATTTAGTACACCCTGAAGTCCCTCCCTACAGTTGCAACGATCACTTTATCCAAGCCATTCTGCACAAATAAAATAACTCAGCCAGATGGAATGAGTCCTTCACTTATGCTTTGAAGTCATCTCTTGACCGATTTTGTTAAAAATAAGAGAAAAGCTTAACTATACCCAATTTGCCCTAACACCCCTTCGAATTTTGCACTACTTGATAGTTTGATAAAAAGCTCCTAAGAATATGCCAGGCTCTGGACTAGGAGCCACATGTAAACATACCCAATTTTTTATCAGCTTGTGAAGTGTTTAACTTCATCGTCAAAACAATAATCAGATAGCCCTGGCCGGTGTGGCTCAGTTGGCTGGAGCGCCATCCCGTACACCAAAAGGCCGTAGATTCAATTCCCGGTCAGGGCACATACCCAGGCTTTGGGTTCGATCCCCAGTCAGGGTGCCTACAGGAGGCAACAGATTGATGTTCCTCCTTCCTATCAATGTTCCTCTCTCTAAAAATATCAATTAAAAAAAACACATGTCCTCGGATAAGATTAAAATTTATAGCAGGGCAAAAGAATTGCTACCTCTGACTCAGAAAATGGACCCACAGGCATTAAATAATGGCTTCAGTCTAAACTGAAATTTCTGATTCCTCGTGCAATCATAACACTTACAGATAACAAAACATGGAATTAAAAATGAAAGCTCTTTACTGTGGCCTAGAGGCAGAGAAGCAATGTCTTCATTTTCAAGAATGCAATCTAAGCAAGTCTGACCCTATACTGCTTGAAATACTTTAGCCTGTGAAAAACAAATCTTTTAAAACTACCAAAAGTTGAATACTTTTACTACCATAACAGCATTCATTCATTCATTGCTCCTTGCACTGGGCACTGTTCCAGAAGTTCATAGATGCAACCACAAAACAAATGAGACAGCAACACTGCTGTCCTCGGCGAGGGCAGGAATCTTACTGCTGGGATGCTGGTGAGCGGCACTCATCTCTCCCCATACCTTTTGGAAAAAGGCACCTCAGAAGTTACAGTGATCTTACTCTTGCTTCTTTCAATGGTTACAACCCCTCCACCAAGATTCCCAGCTTTTCCATTCACTTTGATTCTCTCCTGAAGAAACTGCTCCTGTAAAAATCATCAAATTGACCAATTAGTGAAGTGACAAGTTCACCTGTCTCACCAGCAGAGTATTTTTTTATACCACTGACACTAAACAAACATAGTTTTTTAAATGTTCAATCTTTAAAAACTGATAGCAAATCTTTAGCTGTTTATATAAGGTCTAAAATCTAAGAATAGCAATTAAAAAGTGGCACTATTGCCCTTGCCAGTGTGGCTCAGTTGGTTGGAGCATCATCCTGTACACCAAAAGGTGTCAAGTTCGATTCCTGGTCAGGGCGCGTGCAGGAGGCAACCAATTGATGTTTCTCACATCGGTGTTTCTCTCGCTCTCTCTCTCCCTTCCTCTCTCTCAAGTCAATTTTTAAAAAATAAATGGCACTATTCAATTGTTTTTAAAAATTTAATATGAAAACAAAACCCTAGCATTAATATACTTGACTGTTCCACACAAGGGGAGCTGTCTCTCTACATGGAAGGCTTTGGCCCATGGGTCAAAGGTAAAGAGTAGACAGGAAACCCAGGGCCAAACTGCTACAAGCTTGGTACAGGCAATCAAAGTTGCATGCAACTTCTGAACCTAAGGTGTATAAAGCACTGTCCTCAGCACGATCGGTTATTTTCTCTTCAACCTAGTAAAAGGAGCAAAAACATAATGACCAAAACAATCACAGATCTGCTTTGGGCCATGTGCATGGAGCAGGAGGGACAGCAGCCCAGGAGCCCAGAGATGGACTCTCAGCAAAGCCCTGTGGCAGCTGGGGCTGGTCATTCACCTCCATGGACTTCAGGGGTCTTTCTCCAAAAAGGATTCTTTTTGGTTTTCTTTCTTTCTTTTTATTTTTTCTTCTGGGTTTTCTTTCTATTGCAATGATATGAAAAGTCCCTTTCAGCTGCAAATTCCCACGATCCCCTATTTAAAACCTCCAATACACAATACGTTAATTGATGATGGGGTAAAGTGATTAGGTCAGAAATTTTGACTTCTGTACCTTACTCATGAGTGACTCAAGTTTTCTATCCTAAGGAGACTTCTAGAAAGACAATCACATACAGAGATGGGTGTAGGGGAGGGAGAAAATAATGGGCAGGGCTACCACAGACACAAACTGGGAGGAGTCACAAAGGTTAGGAGGGAAAAGAAGCCACAGAGAAAGGTAAGAAGCCACTGGATGGAGAATGAACCAAAGAGCCAAATGAGGAACTTCTTAGAGGACAGGGACACAAAAGGCATGTATACAAGGGCAGTAAACTACAAGAGGATAGCGAATTCCTTTCTGTGTAATCAATGGCCACAAGCTGAGCTTTTAAATTATTTTTTCATCTGAAAATTATTCGTGTTGTAATATTATCTTGGCAAGAGTTGACATTCTGGAGATGGCAGAACAACTGTAAATTTAGAAGGCTTCTTCACAATAAGAAGCCCGATTCCTCAAGTGTGGTTACTGGAGAGGAAGAGTAAAACTCCAAAACCAAGCTGCAGAGTCACAGCGTTGATTTTTCTAGATTTAAGTGCTATAGAGAAATATTGGGGAATGGGCCAAATACAGGAGCAAAAAAAAATCAGTACAGAGCAAGGTCTAAAAAAACCCAAGCTCCTCTTACAAGTTCACCATGCAGGAAAGTTCACCACAAACACAAAGCTCTGATCCTTTGGTGACATGGAAAACTTGAGATGCTGCCATCTTGCCCAGTACTCCGCAGCCCCACAGGCAGACCCAGGCCAAGACCCTGGAAGCCCCTTGTCCCTGAGGATCAGGGCCCATTGCTTATGCTCAAACTCACAAGAGGGCAAAGGGGATGTGGACCTTAGGAAGTTTACCTGTTTTCTGGTAACTTTTAAGTAAAATCATTTTTTGGACATTAATGGAGGAAAAGAAGGAGGTAGTTCTCTACCTGAGACGTGCTACAGTCCAATTTGTTTATTCCTTGCAACTGTTACACACATGACAGCCNAAGGAGGTAGTTCTCTACCTGAGACGCGCTACAGTCCAATTTGTTTATTCCTTGCAACTGTTACACACATGACAGCCCACAAGACTGAGAAACAAGTATCTAGATGAGAAACAAGTAACTAGACCAGGCTCCAGAGTTCAACACAGAGCCAGAACTGCTCCAGGTTTTCTCAGCACTATCTCAAATGGTTCATTACTGTCCCGGGTGGCATCAAGGGTACAACTTACAAAATTGGCAGCATCCATGATTCCATCTTCTACAGGGTGGGTGCAGTCCAGGGTAAACTTCAGAACCTGCTTCTTTTTTTTGCCCCCCTTCGCCACAAGCTTTTTCTAAGAAAGTATACAAACAGAGATGAAGGCACAACCAGCCCCCATCCACACAAAAAAAATTAAGACAAAAACACCAGAGGTGTAAAAGCCCTGTTCAAATGCAAAGCCCGCGGAGTTGTGTTCCCTTGCAAGGGTGCCAAAAGCCATCCTCTGCCCCAAAACAGAAGAGGGAAAACACCCAAGCTTAGGCCTTTTTAAAGGGGAAATCTTCTAGCATTCTTGACCCATTTAGACTTTCCAGCCTCACCAATCTCTATGACCATGAGGGTCTATTAGCTTACAAACCACAATAAAATGAACTTTTCCTTTTCTGTACCATGGAATTTCTGTAAGTACTTATTTCCTTAACCTAAAAGCAATACTTGTCCTGCCTCTCCAGACCGGGGTCCTGATCCAGTTTAGCTGGTTCTCCCTTAATCCTGTCTCACCTCCCTCCTCAGAGCAGCATCACAACTGTACATCCTACTGGCCCATATATGCAGCCGAGACAAGGGTAAGGCGAACTTAGGTTTTAATTACAACTCTACTGTCCACAATTTCTGGCCTTTTAATCTGTGAATTAGCACTTTCAAACCATCAGTTGGCCTATATCCTACAAGGCTCGAATTCCTTTACTCTCACAAAGCTTACACCAATCTTCTCCCTGTACAAACTCCACCACCATTAAAAAAGCATTTGCACAACCCACTTACCTGTAGTTCCACTCTAAAAACCTTTAGCAGAATCTAAAAAGACCTTTACAAGAACACATCCTAACCGCTCCCCCCCTTGTGCTTCAAAGAACAACATCTAAAACTTCCATTAATTGGGTCAACTTTTCAAACTACTGCAAAAAAATAACTGATTTTTTTTTTTTTTTAAGACATCTCTTCCTAGTTACAATCGCCAAGGGCTGCTTTAAATTCTATCCCCCGTAAATATACAACCGGCAAGTAAAAAAAAAAAAACTTGCCATCATGGTTTTAAACCAAAAGCATACAAATACACAGAAGCATTAAAAGCCCACCTAAGAGTAGATGAACCGAAAATGTTAACAAATGTGCCCCAATATACGGGGAGGGGAGGAATCCAACTTGCTCCAAGCGAGCCCTTCAGAGAGCGATCTGCGGGCAGTGACACGAGGGCGCCGCACCGCCGGGTCCCAGCGCGGCGGCGAGAATGAGGCGCTGACCAAAAAGGGTCCGTACAGCCGCTCCCTGCACTAACTTCCTCTGGGGACGCTACAGGGGTCCTCAAACTGGGCCTCTCTCTGAAACCAGACCACCTTTCGCGGCCGTTTCCACTCGTCCCCGAGTCCTGGCCATAGGCTTCCCGGATGCGCGACTCCCAAGGGTGGCAGGTCCCCTTCTCCTTCCTCCCCTCCGCCCAGGTAACCAGGCCCAGACCCTGGCCGCCTCACGCCAGCCGGGCTCCAAGGGCCGCTGACCGGCCCAAGCCGCGGCCTCGGCACTGCAGCTCCCCACTGG